CCTCTCGCATACTCGCTGAGTTACACCGAAGTTCTCGGGGGTGTGACAACATACCCTCTCCAATCTCATCACGCCGTAATCCGAGCACGTCTATCTCCCAGGGTATAATCCCAGGAAATGACAGTCACATTCGTGACAGAAGCAAGAGCCGTTGACGACGGGGCGCAACAATGGCGCGCGGTCCTACCCAAAAATTCCAGCGGTGAGAGATGCAACCAGTCAACCGCAAGGCCTATCCCAAACGTAGCTACCGCAGCGGAAGACGCCGAGCCTATTCCGTTGGAGGATGAGCCGAAATGGCTTTCCGCGATGTCATGACTAACCTATAATCCATACCTGCGACACCGAGCGACGTCCGGGTAGGGCTTCCAGATTGAACTAGCCGCTGACTCATCCTTGATCTCCGTACGTACATGCATGGTGCATATAAAACCTCAAGGCCCGGAAATACGGCACGAACCCATCCACCTCTCAGATATCATATCCGAAGCGTGATGACATCCCTCCTCCAGCCCTAAATCGCCGCATTCTTCAATGCACCAACTCGGAATCTCGGCGTTCGTCTGTGCAACGTGATTCGTAAGTATCAAGGAAGCCCTGTCTATTCAGCCATATGATTTTATTTTTATCAACATATGGAAACGTTCCTATTGCATTGACATCATAGTGGCTTGTCGATCGCACAACCAAACACAGTAGAACCCACAGCGGATGCGAGTATGCGGAAATCGTAACGGCCTTGTGACGGAAACCTGGAACCGAATTGCTTATTTCAGCCTCATACATGTTCGTAGTCATGGGAGCATATTCTCACGGTGTGCTGATTTACTCGAAGCCGTTTACCGAAAGCGAGCATCGGGTTTTAGGTATGATTCGTATCGGACATAAAGATATCTATAGGAAACACTAGGATAGAGGGTAGGTAGACATAATCGAAGTCGTCGATGGAATTTATTAGCTATGTTGGATCATAGGTATCTCCGAAGAGCCTGAAGGCTTCGAATGAAGAGACCCACCAGATAAAAATTGAAAGGGTCATATTAATCCTATAGTAAAAGAAAAAACAAAAAGAATTCGATTCTTAAATCATGACAATTGATCAGATCAAGGGAAATAAAATAGAAGGGGAGAATGGTGAAGAAAAAAAAATAGATCTTCGAAGGACTCGGTTTCGAACCCGCGAGTGGAATAATTTATCAAGTAGGCCCCTCATTGAAGCTACCCGTAGCACACATTCGACTGCGTCAGTTCATCCTTTCAACAAGTCCTAGGAAGGTTGTTGGAAGGACCACTGTTGTTTTGCTATATAACTTTACCGTAGAGGTTTTTGCACATTGTGAGCGACTCGTACGATGGTAGGTGACGAGTCGCACTATCTACCGCAGACCACCCTTATCACAAACACGATATCAACCCTCAAAGAACTTTACAATCTGCTGCAAATCCATAACCCCTATTCCGCGTTTTGGGTAACAAATAAAAACTTGCTCCCCTAGCACGCCAAACTTCTCCCTAAACTTGGCCTTCCCCCCTAACCTCAGATTCCTCACGATAACATCGTACGTGTTAGCTAAAAACTTGGCCCTGACGCCGCTAAGCTGCGCACCGGGTGTGAGTCGCTCCGATACCCCCGCGCCGAAGGTCACGGGGCCGGAAAGCGCGGATAGCGCTGCTTCGACGAGGACTTCGATGGTGCCGTTCGGCGCGGCGGGGAAGTCAAACGCCCACTTGACCTGCCATCCGTGGCGAGGCGCTAGCTGCGCAAGGACGACGAGTGCGACGACCGCGCCGTCTTTTTGCGCGGCGAAGTAGCGTCTGTGTTCTCTATCGATCCATGGCCGGACTTCAGTAAGGTGAACCTGTTTTCCCTTACTCTTGCGGCCTTCCTGCCACTCGCGGATCGCGCTATCGGCGCGGCTCATGAAATTTTCGTCCGGGTCAACGACCTCGCCGATCGTGATACCCTCGCGCTGGACGCGGCGCGCTTCGCGGCCCTTCGACGAGTTATGATGTTGGTCCGCGTCAACGCGCTGTTCCTCGGCGCAGCTAAGCGTTCGCCAGCCCAGTTTGCTCCCTAGGATGTGCTGGACTTCCTCCGAGACGAGCATCCAGACGGGTGTGAGGCGAAGGTCCTTTCGCACGAAGTCGACGAAGGCGGTAATAACGTCGCGGTACTGTCTCTGGTCACAGAGCGGGTTACCGGCTATCATGGCGAACTTGTCTGCTTGTCTAGCAAAACCTACTGCTGCGCCGCTCGGATGTCGCCAGATCTCGAATCGCTCGTCAAGCCAGGATGTGTTTGTAGCATCACCATAATTGGCAATGAGTTTCTCGATAGGGGGTTGATCAGATTCATTTTGTTGACCTCGTGACACTGCTAGGGTGTCTGCGTCTGGATGAGGAAGCATTGGCGGGCGGGCTGGTAGTGACTTAGGATCTCGTGGGAATAGCGAAGCATTCCTCACATCATCTAGTTGAAGGAGAAGCATTACGATCCGCTCAAGACCCAATCCAGCGCCCCCGTGAGGTGGTGCTCCATGATCAAAAGCACTTAAGTATTCTTCCATTCCCTGTTCGCTGATTTTCGATTCCGCCATACTTGCGCGGAGATCTTTAGCATTATGGATGCGTTGCCCGCCAGTGCAAATCTCCTGACCACGCAAGAAGATATCAAATGAGTTAGTCCATTTCGGGTCCTCGGCTTTGTGAGTATAAAACGGCCTAGCATTGGCTGGGAATTTATCTAGGATGTAATAGTCGGTTTGATACTTCTCCTTGATGAATTCGCCCAGACGCATCTCATCCCGTGTGGATAAGTCTTCTTCTTCGACTTCTCTGTCGTCATCTCGAAGCATTTGAATCCCCTCAGTGAAAGGGATTATTGGAGTTTTATCTAGCCAAACTAGATCCTTGCTAGGCCACCGCTCCCGGACGTTCTGTAGCTCAGGCATGGATTGCACCGCAGTAAAAATAGCCTTGAGAAATTTATCTATGACCTCTATAAGTTCTCTGTAGGATTCCCCCAGAGACATTTCGATGTCTAGTCCAGTGTATTCCGTCAAGTGCCGATGTGTATTGGAATTCTCTGCGCGGAATACTGGACCGATCTTTTGGCTAAGGTTAGTGATTGATTTTATGAAATAAAGTGAACGACTCTACTCACCTCATAGACTTTCTTAAAGTCAGCTGATATGACCATCTGCTTTGGTAGCTGAGGACTTTGCGCCAGAAATGCTGTTCTCCCAAAGTATTGCACTTTGAAGACTTCCGAGCCGCTCTCAGTTGCAGCAGGTTGAAGTTTGGGTGTCTGGATCTCTAGGAAACCCTGATCTTCCAGAGACTCTCGAAACTTTCGAACGATCATAGATCGAATCCGGAAAACAGCCTGGTTACTTGGGTGACGAAGATCAACCACACGTCCGGATAGACGTTGACGGAGCGCATCGGGAGGCTCATAGTTGTCGAAAGGCAGGTCGTTGGCCGGATTGACGAGGTGTATAGAATAAACTAGCACTTCTATGTCGGAGAGCGTTGCGGAGGCAACGGGTTCCTTCGGTTTCTGCAAAGTCCCGGTTACATGAACGAGGGATTCGGGGTTGAGCCGCTGTACCCATCGAATCATATGTGGTGATGCATGTGAGAGGACACCCTGAATGGAGTGTGTCTGATTTCGGAATAATAGGAAGGTTAAGGCTTGAGATAGCCGCCTTTGGGTATGTATTCTTGCACGAAAGTTGACTTCGGATCCTTCTGGTAGGTTGATGATTTGCTCAAGTGAGCACAGCTCATGGGGGTGAACATTTTCACCATAACGAGCTTTGGTCTCGTCATCTTCCTCTTGTTCAGCCTTCTCATCTTCCTGTTGCCTGCGCTCTTCTATCTCATTTTTCTCCTGCTGTCTCCGCTCGGATTTCTCAAGCTTCTCCTGTTGTTTGGCCTCTGTACGTTGTGCTGACTTTCCTTTCCCTGGAGTGCTAGATTCTGTTTCATGCTTATGCGATCGAAAAGGTGAGCACATAACATGAGTAATATTTCCTAGGGGACCCGACATGGTTGAATATTATATGCTATTTAGGTAACGATTATAAAGTCGGGTTTTAGGTAGTTGTTAAAGTTCAACTTACGCTTTCAAGGCGATTAAGCGGTTTAACAAGAGCATTGAGTTAAAGTAAATCTATTCAGGGGAAGTTACGTTATGCTTGTTGCTTGCCCCTGAACCACGAACGTGCCTCCTATAGTATAGGTGGACCTAGAGTAAATACCATGGACATGCGTCATACTCACGTAAATTTCACTGATGTTGGTGTATGCATAGATGAATTCTCGTTCCCAGCTTGATTCTTCCCGAGCAGATGGTTACATTTGTAGATCGATCTGGATATAATCCTTCAATCATTACCTTTCCTGTAAGTATTTCGTTTGCCCCGCCAATTCATATCGAATTGTCAACTTAATTGATTCTATTATAATTCGTCATAGACTGAAAGTCCTATGCAAATAATGGTCAGCAATGCTAGTAATAACGCATCATTCATTGCCATTGGCTTGATGCAATATCTTCAAGGAACTGGTATATCAAATCTCTTTTTGGGTGCCTCGGAGTTTCGTCAATTGCGATGGTATCTTAAGAAATAGAGTTAGAGATCAGACTAAGAGATCAAAAAAGAATCTATAAGGGATGAAATGACGTATTCCATGATCAAGGCTGAGCTTACTTAATAGATTAAATAGGTATACAACTTCTACCTTCTTAACCACATACCAACTCCCTACCTACCCACCTACTTAATACCCGAGTATACATATTTTAACGACTTGATTTAATCTTGTGAGTACGGCTCTTTGGGTATGAACGAAGTTGTATCATTCCTCTAATGCTAAATTTAGGAACGCTTTGAAGTAGAAAATTTCTTAGAGGGCAAGAGTGGGGTTGTCCGTTCGGTTCCGGCGAAAGTCCTGGATATAAGCTAAACTAAAGAGCCAAACTCTCAACCATCACAGGCCGCGTAGTGTAGTGGTTAGCACGCAGGATTTTGATTGCAAATTTGCAAATAAATTCCTGAGACCTGAGTTCAATCCTCGGCGGGGCCTTCCTCATTCAACTCCAAATCTTAATTTTTGGCAATTGCTACGCTACTTCTTTCTATTTAGAAATTTAGGCAATTGCGCAATGATTTTTTTTCTAGGGCAATCGCATTTCCTATGTGATACGTCACATCAATCGAGTCACTCGAGTCGCATTATTTGGTTTCCATTACCATAAACGCAAATAGGTAGGTAGTTAATGCTTTTAATAAAGTGCATAAGGGAAACTACCTACCTCCTAATGCAATCAATTGAGAATTCTGCTACCCTCGTCTTTCTTATTTTATTGACAATAGGCGTAATATTGTATTGTCAATTCCCTTAGCCTTATCAACTAAACCCCTTCACTGAAAAGTTAGCCGGCGAGCGCTGAACCGAACCCTTCCGATACGGAAGTTGGCAGTGGGGCACCTTTGTGATAGCTATAGCGGGGTCGAGCACATCATCGCACTGATTCGGCATTGGATGCTATAGGATATCAAGTCCCAGGCTAGGTACATGTAGTATCCCTATTACTAAAGTGACTCAACTGAAAGCCCTGGAGAGATCTCATAAAACCCCTTCTAATACCTAAATTTTTATCTCTGTAAATATCTCAAGATCACCTTATGCCCCTCCTGCGCACCGGCCTCTCCACACTCCGGTACTTCTTTCGCTCGTCGTCTTATCCGAGGACTGTTCCTATACAATCGCTTAGATCACTTAGTAACAGTTTCGGCAACATCAGGAGAAGAAACATGTCTTCAGCCATAGCAAAGCGCCTCGAAGGCAAGACTATCGTGATTACAGGGGCTTCGTCGGGGATCGGTCGCAGTACCGCGTTCGAGTTTGCGCGAACTGCGCCCAAGAACCTGAAGCTAGTTCTTACAGCGCGACGTGTGGACACCTTACGTCAAATCGCCGACGATATCGTAAAGGAGGTTGGCGATGGCGTGAAGGTCTTGCCTGTAAAGCTTGATGTGAGCGTTCCTGAGGAGGTCCGTGGTTTCGTGGCGGGATTGCCAGAAGAATTCCGCGATATCGATGTGTTGGTAAATAATGCGTAAGTTAATATGAGATATGCTAAATATCTTCAAGGCATTTCATGTGAGCAAGAATTATGAGTCTCTAACTAACAATCCCGTGAAGCGGCCTTGTTAAAGGAGTAGCTCGTGCCCCCGAAATCGCAGAGGCCGATATGAACATCATGTTCGCAACCAATGTGACAGGCCTCATCAACATGACCCAGGCTGTCCTACCAATCTTTCTCGCACGCCGAGATGGTGGCCATGGTGATATCATCAACATTGGTAGCATCGCCGGTCGTGAGCCGTACGCGGGCGGTGGCATCTACTGTGCCACTAAGGCTGCTATCCGGAGTTTCTCGGAGTCTTTGCGCAAGGAACTCATCGCGTCGCGCGTCCGCGTCCTTGAAATCGACCCTGGCCAGGTTGAGACGGTATGTCGCTGCGCTCTCCTGAGAGTATGGCATCTCTAGAGCTGACACGATCTTATAGGAATTCTCCGTTGTCCGATTTTATGGTGACAAGGCCAAGGCTGATGCCGTCTACGCGTGAGTGAACCGGCTCGATTCATTATGTTTTATCGTACTGACTTATCTCAGTGGTTGCGAGCCTCTGACGCCTGATGATATTGCCGAGGTAGTCGTATTTGTTGCTGGGAGAAGAGAAAATGTTGTAGTAGCTGACACACTCGTCTATCCCAACCACCAAGCTGGTGCTGGCATTCTATACAAGAAGACATAAACAGCCTAAGATACATGCATACGAGAAAAAAAATGTATTTATTTCGATTTGACAAGTTGAGCATGTCGTGCCCCGAGTTTCAATCATGGATTCTCAGGGCATTTTAAGAAATGCCTACAATGTTCTACGTAGCCTAGACTTACAAGCTAGACTAAATAATTATGGGAATTATATTATAATTCAAAGTCCTGGCTTGATCAGTTAGCGAAGATCAGATAAAGACTTCAGACCTAAATTGAATTATAGGTATGAAATGCATCAGATAAACCAGTTTACTCATTCACGCAAGTCGGCCTTCTACCCCCTTGCCTCAAGACGAGACACGAAAATAGAAGACACGGAAGCCAGCATGACAACTCGACAAGCCCAGTCGAAACTAGGGTTATCGGAGACAACTCCACAACTGATCATCACGTACTCAAGAGCAGCTACAGTGTGGGAGGGTGGCTCGACCCGCTGTGAGATAGTTGAATGGATAAACAGTTTTCATCATGACAATGTATTCTGTGGAAGAGAAAATATTGGCTTACATTTGACATGGCGGTAGTGCGAGTGGGAGATGATAGGTATAAAGCACTAAGCACTTCTTGTATGTTAGCTTTGTGGCTCATTCAGAAGACTGAACAGCAAAAGAACAGGTAACATGTATGATCAGAATATGTTTTTTGGTATATGGGTATCTTCACAGTGCTTCAGAAGCAGAACTGATAAAAATAGATTCATCATGGACAATGTTAATATAGGAAAGGAGAGAACTGCAGCCTACTCACATTATTCGAAGATTTCTGGGAGCGATCGTTGTCAAGTACGGAGAGAAGTGAATGTATGTCTGGAAAGAGTATTAGCTAGACAATCAAGGACGATGATGACAATAGCAATAGCCGATTCATGCTTCAGATGGTAGTGCATGTTGTTCATTCCGCTCAGGTGATCGCGAGGAACAGTGGTTATAAATTCATCAGTAGCAAGAAAGTCTGCAAGGGAACGAGGTGTGCTGAGGATATGCAAAGCAGAGCAAGAGGGCAACTCACCAAAATATTTACCCAAAGCCAAGTGGGGCGTTTGAGGTTCAAAGCAGTAGACTCATACTCTGGCCTACTCGAATGACGCAAATACCTTCAATAATTCTTTGAATGAATCTTGTACATGTATCCTTGAGCAGTGGAAGCTTCTATTTATCTTCCTAGATGCAGTGGCACTTGCGACTTTCGGCGCTGTATGCTAACATGTATGAGGTTGGTGAAGTCGAGGTTAAGTGAAGGAAGAAAATTTATTTTCCAAGCTTGATGAGCTGTAAAGAAAATGTTCGGAGCACGGCAAATTTGTGACCGGCTTGGTCTGTGCTGGAGCTACGCTGCTAGTGTGCAGGGATTAGCGGGGTTAGTGGATATCTTAGTGGGGCAACTTTCCTGCTGCTTGGAATTTTCAGAATATTGAATGTTGAATTGAGCTTCTACAAGCGCAAGCGCAAGTGCAACATATCAAGCATCAAAGCAATCAATCGGTTCCTTACTTTAGAGCTCAACTGCCATGGCTGACCGAAGACGAATCAATGGTCCGGTTGGCACAACCGCTCCTCCAGTGTACGATACTCCTCATGGAAAAAGAATCGTGGCACGTTCAGGTGACAATGCCGTCCGAAAGATCTGTGAGTTTTCCTTCCTTTCCTCTGCCTTCTCCGTTAGCTAATTTATGTTTTATATAGTCCTTAAGACTGGTGTCACTCCTTCAGCTTCTGGGTCAGCATATCTAGAAGTCGAAGATCCGGCCGCAAACCGTCCGTCAGGCACAAGCCTAAAGCTCACCTGTACAGTCCATGGTCCTCGAGCCCTTCCGCGATCAGCGCCCTTCTCCCCCCATATCATCCTCTCTACTCATGTCAAGTATGCGCCGTTCGCGACGAGACAAAGACGAGGTTACCTACGCGACTCGAGCGAGAGGGATCTTGGAGTACATCTAGAGACAGCCCTACGCGGGGCAATCATTGCGGACCGTTGGCCTAAGAGCGGTGTTGACATCGTCGTCACTATAATTGAAGGCGATCAGAACCGCGATTCGCTAGAGTACGATAGGGACGAAGGTTGGGATATGATGAATGTCCTGGGAGGGTGCATAACCGTTGCTTCGGCTGCTATCGCGGATGCCGGCATCGACTGCGTGGACACCGTGGCGGGAGGTGTTGCTGCTATGGTAGCGAAGGACTCGAAGAGCGAACCTACCATCGTCCTAGACCCGGATGTTGCTGCCTACCATAAGATTTTCGCGGCATGCTGCGTTGCATATCTACCGACGAGAGACGAAGTAACCAACATTTGGTTCAAGGGCCAGCTCCCCTCTTCAGATGCTATGGTCTACCACAAATTGGTTGAGCGAAGTCTCGTAGCGTGTCGAAGCGCAAATCGCGTGCTTGTCCAAGCTCTCAACGAAACTGTCCGCCAAGGGCAAAATTTGCAAAATCCGTCTTGAACCTAGCTGGCAAACCGTGGACCTCTACCTTGACTGAGGGGCATGGATTCGTTTCGCCAACTTCGGAAATACCAGGACAAATTCTCATGAAATAGCCCAACTAGGCGGAAATGATAACAAATCCGGACCATGGCTTCCTAAATATGTGAGTCATTCACGACGAGGCCTCGATTCCCATGCTATTCGCATACATGATAGAGATACGCTAGGTCTCATGTCCAGGATGTAGCAGACCAATGATGTTACTGGATGTATAAAAAGACTTCAAAGGCGTGACATACAGGCAGCAGAGGCTCAAGCTGGGGGTATAACCCGCTAGCCATGATCATGATGCATCTGCATGTAATATTGGTTGGTGGAATCGCAAGTTCGATCATGGTCATTGCCATGGGCAATAGCCAATACGGTTGCGTATCGACACGTCTTGTGAGCATCTTGTTCTAAAAACCTCCCACTTAGCGCGTTCTTTTCGCGAACTTAACCATTAGGAGGAACAGATAATAATAAACGCATCCGAGAAAAACTCCCACGAGCGAATTGGATTTAGTGAAGAAATTCCCACATGGTCACTAAGTTGATTCTAGAAGAACATATTGCTACACTAATGTGAGATCATCTACGCGCATGATATGCATCTCGCCATAAGGTAACTTGCGAGGGTAGCAATTGCCAATTGCCCAAGCGTGTTAGCATTGAGGCTGTGCAGGTGCCTACTGCCCTGCTGCGTAAATAAATTGGTAGGGTGGGTTATAGTGGATCCATTAACTACAATGAACACTGGCAATGACGGGCTTG